ACAACTCCCAAATGTCAAGGACCATTTCTCCCAAACTCCATCTGTGTTCATATTTGGGCATACAAAATATTCGTGCCAAGTTTGGTCCAGATCTATCATTGTTTGAGTCCACAGCGCTCTCTGGATGTAGGTGAACTACAACTCCCAAACTCAGGATCAATGCCCACCAATCCCGTCGAGTCTTTTCTGTTGGTCATGGGAGTCCTGTGTGCCATGTTTGGTTCAATTCTGTCACTGGTATATTTCAGAATGCTCTTTGATTGTAGGTGAACTATAAATCCCAGCAACTACAACTCCCAAATGCCAAGGTCTATTTCTCCCAAACTCTATCTATGTTCATATTTGGTATATGGAATATTCGTGCCAAGTTTGGTCCAGAAATCATTGTTTCGAGTCCACTGTGCTCTCTGGATGTAGGTGAACTACAACTCCCAAACTCAAGATCAATGCCCACCAAACCCTTCTAGTGTTTTCTGTTGGTCATGGGAGTTCCTGTGTGCCATGTTTGGTTCAATTTCATCACTGGTAGAGTTCAGAATGCTCTTGGATTGTAGGTGAACTATAAATCCCAGCAACTATAACTCCCAAATATCAAGGTATATTTCTCCCAAACTCCATCTGTGTTCATATTTGGTCATATGGTATATTCGTGTCAAGTTTGGTCCAGATCCATCATTGTTTGAGTCCACAGTGCTCTCTGGATGTAGGTGAACTACAACTCCCAAACTCAAGATCAATGCCCACCAAACCCTTCTGGCGTTTTCTGTTGGCCAGGGGAGTTCTGTGTGCCAAGTTTGGTTCAATTCCATCACTGGTAGAGTTCAGAATGATCTTTGATTGTAGGTGAACTATAAATCCCAACAACTACAACTCCCAAATGACAAAATCAAATTGTTTTGAGTGGTCATTCCTTGAGTTAGTAGGTGTCTTGTGGCTAAATCTGGCAGCAATTCGTCTAGTGGTTTTTGAGTTATGTTAATTCCACAAACAAACATTACATTTTTATTTATACAGAAGTCATAGGAATGGCTCTGTGTGCCTTCTGGGTATTAACTATGCTATTTTTGGAAGAAGTTACTATTTTAGATCTTTAAAAAATGTAACTTTCTGAGTCCTTCATCTGCTTTCCTCACAAAGGGAGCATATAGCCAAAGGCCACAAGTCGGTTAGCAACAACGCTCCCTCTTCTCTGATTGGTTGAGAGGCTTCCTTTGGCCTACTACAGTGTGAAGGCCTTCTTCCAGAGAAAGAGACTGAAGAGGTGCTTGAATTTTGATTGGCTGGGACTTGTCAAGAGAGCATCCTGATTGGCCGCAAAATAATGGTAGGTTTGCTTTTTGCCTTAGTTGAGGTTGCCAGGGGGAGAGAACATGCCCAGTTGAGGTTTCTGATTGGTGGATCAGAAATCTCCATCTTGTTTGCCATTAGGGTTCATAGGCGTGAGGTAAATATTAACACTGAGCATTCCTGGCAGACAAAAAAGTGTTAATTTTGGCTCACTGACTTTCTTGATGGGAGCGGACCACACAGAGACTTTTCGAGGCGAATTAATTATGAGGAGAATGGCACTATTAAGTCGATCATTCCTTATCCACAATTCCGAAATCCGAAATCAATGAATGGCTTAGAGATAGGGACAACCTTGCTTTCTGATAGTTCAGTGTACACAAACTTGGCTTCCTATACAGCACTATTCAAATAACAACAATAATAATTTATTATCCTCCTCCTTGCAGCTTGTGTATAAAACAAGCATGGGGAAACTTGGCCCCTCTGGGTGTTTTGGACTTCAACTCCCATCATTCCTAACAGCCTCAGGCCCTTTCCTTTTCCCCCTCAGCCGCTTAAGCGGCTGAGGGGGAAAAGGAAGGGGCCTGAGGCTGTTAGGAATGATGGGAGTTGAAGTCCAAAACACCCAGAGGGCTCAAGTTTGTCTATGCCTGATATAGAATGTGCTATGGCCCTCAACATAGTCATCACTTTTTAGAAGCAACAGCCACCATGGCCTTTGGCAGTGGTTCTCAACCTGTGGGCTCCCAGGTATTTTGTTTCGTAGTATTGTACTTGTTGAGGTAAGTAATAGTGCATTTGTGGAGATGGGCATTCACGAAGTCGCCGCAGGCTCTAAGAGAGGAGGTATATACATCTGGCCCTCCCTCCCGTCAGCAATCAGTAACTCATTTAACTGTGTTTTCAAAATATGAATTGACACCAGATTTACAGTCTCTTGGGTCAGGTTTCCAGCACGTGACCCATGCCTGTGTGTGAATTGCATAGTGCTGTTCTCCGGTTTCTCCCCATCAGAAGAGCAGTCACTGAATATTTAACTTAATTGGTTTTCTGCTCCTGTGACCATCAATTGTCCACTGCGTTCACTTTCACGTTTTATGAACTCCTTGTTTCTCATTTGCTTTGATGCACATCTATTGTATCCTTGCGGTGCCACCCTCTGCAGGTCATCTTACAGAGTTCTGCTCAATAGAGTGTTACTGAAGAACTCTGTATTTCCAAAATAACAAAAGAT